TATATTGCCCAGGCTGTTCTCAAACTCCTGGCCTCAAGCAATTCTCCTGCCTTGGCCTCCTAAAATGCCGAGTTTACAGGCATGAGCCACAATAGCTGGCCCGGAAATATTTTATATCTTGATATGGGTGGTTGTCATATGTGCATCATCACACTGTGCATGTAAAATGTTATTTATGTTAATTTAAGTAAGCTATACCTTAATTAAAATTTTTTACATGGAGGAAAAAGATCTAGAGGAAAACAATTCCCATAGATTAAAAATAAAATATAGAAGTTAAATTTAACAATGTAAAAAACATCCATTGTTCTATTTCAACAACATCTATATAGAAGGAAAATAAAATATTTAAAACTAATCAGAACTATTAGATTTCCATATTTTTCTACCCTCCCAATCAATGTAAGCATCATGAAAATTATATCTTCCTTGTAAATTTGAAATAAATTGCTCCAACATCACTCTGGACACAATGCCTTCATGTCTTTGATAATCTTTACAGTGTCTCCTATTATCATTGTTCTGTTTACATGTACTGCTTCATTTTTAATTAATTTTGGTGTTTTTTCTTAGAATATTTATTTTAACTAATTTTTTTACATGGTAAGAGATGGATTTATTCTTCTCTGTACTACCTTGATTAGATTATCTTTTCTTGATTAAGTTTTCCAGAGGTGTTTTCTTTGCTTGTTTTTGTCTTGGTCACTCATCCTTTTTTTTTTTTGAGACAGAGTCTAACTCTGTTGCCCAGGCTGGAGTACAGTAGCTGCAACCTCTGCCTCCAAGTTCAAGCGATTCTCCTGCCTCAGCCTCCCAAGTAGCTGGGATTACAGGCACTCACCACCATGCCCAGCTAATTTTTTGTATCTTTAGTAGAGACAGGGTTTCACCATGTTGGCCAGGCTGGTCTGGAACTCCTGACCTCAAGTGATCCACCCACCTCAGCCTCCCAAAGTGCTGGGCTTACAGGTGTGAGCCACTTTGCCTGGCCCAGTCATTCTTTATTTACCAGTTTGGTCATCTTCCTTTCTGAAAGTTTTAGAAATATTCACCTACTTTCATTTAGCTTGCATTCTAGTTAGGAAAACTATTTGTCAGGAAAATGAAAAGTCCTTGGCCACTTAAAGGAAAAAAAAAGAAACTGATAATTTTAGAATCTCTTAGAGGGAGGTAATTTTTTTGTTTTGTTTGTTTTTTTGTTCGTTTGTTTTTGAGACGGAGTCTCGCTCCGTCTCTCCCAGGCTGGAGTGCAGTGGCGCGATCTCGGCTCACTACAACCTCCGCCTCCCAGGTTCAAGCAATTCTCCTGCCTCAGCCTCCCCAGAAGCTGGGAGGAGGAGGAGTAGTAGGCGCGCGCCACCACGCCGGGCTAGTTTATGTATTTTTAGTAGAGACGGTTTCACCATGTTGGCCAGGCTGGTCTCAAACTCCTGATGTCAAGTGATCCGCCCGCCTTGGCCTTCCACAGTGCTGAAATTACAGGCGTAAGCCACCGCACCCGGCGGAGGGAGATAGTTTTTAAATCCTCGGTGGATTTTAAAGTTTTATTTAAAAATAATTATTTTGGGGTGTTTAAAAAATATTTTTTGAAATTCTAATTCACTTTCAGGTAATTGTCTTTGCCTTGGGAGGTTCGTCCTAAGGAATCCACCATTTGCGCCTGCTTGCTCGTTTATCTTGGTTTAATTTTATCAAACTAAATTCCTACTTTTGGGGATTTTATTTACTATCCTAGTTTTGAATTTTAGCATCCGTGAGACTGCTAGGACTCAAGGACCTGTAAAGATAGGTGAAGACAGACCAAGCCCAAGAATCCTCTTTTCTTCTTCTTTTTCTTTTTTTTCTTTTTTTGGAGACAAGGTCTTGCTGTGTCCCCAAGGCTGGAGTGCAGTGGTGAAATCTCCGCTCACTGCAGACTCCGTCTTCCGGGTTCAAGCAATTCTCCTGCCTCAGCCTCCCGGGTAGCTCGTACTACAGGCATGTGCCACAATGCCTTGCTAATTTTTGTATTTTTGGAGAGACGGGGTTTCGCCATGTTGGCCAGGCTGGTCTCGAACTCCTGGCCTCAAGTGATCCGCAAGGTACGGAGAGCATCAGGAAAAATAGCTAATGCATGCTGGATTTAATATCTAGGTGATAGATTGATAGGTGCAGTAAATCATCACGGCAAACGTTTACCTGTGTAACAAGTCTGCACATCCTGCACATGTACCCTGGAAGATATAGATACAGATATAGATATAGATATAGATATAGATATAGATATAGATATAGATACAGATACAGATACAGATATAGATACAGATAGACCAGAAACGAGATATTTATTTATTTATTCTTTTTGAGACAGGGTCTCACTCTGTAACCCAGGCTGGAGTGCAGTGGCGCGATCTCGGCTCACTGCAACCTCCGCCTCCCGAGTTCAAGCGATTCTCCCGCCTCAGCCTCCCAAGTAGCTGGGATTACAGGCGTGCGCCATCACGCCTGGCTAAGTTTTCTTGCCTTGTCGCCCAGGCTGGAGTGCAGTGGCGCGATCTCCGCTCACTGCAAGCTCCACCTCCCGGGTTCACGCCATTCTCATTCCTCAGCCTCCCGAGTAGCTGGGACTACAGGCACCTGCCACCATGCCCGGCTAATTTTTTTGTATTTTTAGTACAGACAGGGTTTCACTATGTTAGCCAGGATGGTCTCGATCTCCTGACCTCGTGATCCGCCCGCCTCGGCCTCCCAAAGTGCTGGGATTACAGGCGCGAGCCACTGCGCCAGGCCCACGCCGAGCTAAGTTTTATATTTTTAGTAGAGACAGGGTTTCACCATGTTAGCCAGGCTGGTCTCGAACTCCTGGCTTCAAGAGATCCACCCGCCTTGGCCTCCCAAAGCTGGGACAACAGGCGGGAGTCACCGCGGCCAAGAAACGAGATTTTTAAACTAAGAATCCAATGAAACAAAAATAGACAATAGAATCAGCTCTGCAGATAAGATATTGGGCTTAGAAGATAGGCAACCTAAAATAACTACGATTAATATATGAGAGAAAGAGAGGAAAAGATGAAGAAAACAAATTAAAAGATAAAGAATCTCTTTAAACTATTGGCTTTACTGGAAAATAATCCAATATGAATCCTAAAATTGAAAAGGACTATGTTAAAACATTAACAAATGAGTTTATACATTGGAAATAGAACAAAATAGGATTAGTAAACTAGAAGACAGGTTATTAGAAATTATCCAAAATAAAACACTGATAAAAACGAGAACTATGGAACAGAAATAAAAGATAGATAAAATACCATGGAAAAATTCCAAAGGAGTAGGAAAAGACAGGGAAAAAAAAAAAAAAAAAGCAACATTTAAGTAGAAACTGACCAAGATTTTTCCGAAACTGAAAAAAGATACCAAGCTATAGATTCAGAAAGCATAAATGAGATAGGTTCAAAAAAACAAAACAAAAAACACTTAGACATATTTTATTAAAATAGCTGTAAGGAGTAGGGAGAGAAAGAAGAGAAAGAGATTAACAGTAAACAGCAAAGAAAAAGGCACATTACTGGCCGGGCGGAGTGGCTAACACCTTAATCTTAGCACTTTGGGAGGCCGAGGTGGGAGGATCACTTGAGGTCACGAGTTCGAAACCAGCTTGGCCATCGTGGTGAAACCCCGTCTCTACTAAAAATACAAAAAATTAGCTGGGCATGGTGCTGTGCGCCTGTAATCCCAGCTACTTGGGAGGCTGAGGCAGGAGAATCGCTTGAACTCGAAAGGCAGAGGTTGCAGTGAGCCGAGATCATGCCACCGCACTCCAGCCTGGGCAACAGAGAGCGAGAGACTGTCTCAAAAAAAAAAAAAAAAAAAAAAAAAAAAAAAAAAAAAAAAAAGACACATTACTTTCAATGAAAAAAAATTAAGTGTATAGGTGACTTCTCATAGAAGATAATGCAAGTCAAAATATAATAGAATGCTATTTTTGAAATGCTTTGTAAAACAAAGACAAAAACACACTGCTTAACTAGTATTCAGTACTCAGTAAACACATCCTTTATAAATTAAGGTGAAACAAAGATTCCTCCCTCCCTCCCTCCCTCCCTCCCTCCCTCCCTCCCTCCCTCCCTCCTTTCCTTCTGACAGAGTCTCACCCTGTCACCCAGGCTGGAGTACAATGGCACGATCTCAGGTCACTGCAACCTTTGCCTCCTGGGTTCAAACGATTCTCCTGTCCTAACCTCCCAAATAGCTGGGATTACAGGTGTGAGCCACCACGCCCAGCTAATTTTTTGTATCTTTAGTAGAGATGGGGTTTCACCATGTTGGCCATGCTGCTCTCCAACTCCTGACCTCGTGATCCACCTGCCTCGGCCTCACAAAGTGTTGGGATTACAGGTGTGAGCCAGTGCAACCGGCCTCTTTTCTTATCTCTCTCTTTCTCTTTTTTCTTTTTTTTTTTTTTTTTTTTGAGAGGGAGGCTCGCCCTCCCCCACCCTCCCCTCTCCTCTCCTTTCCTTTTTTTTTTTTTTTTTTGACGGAGTCTCGCTTGTTGCCCAGGCTGGAGTGCAGGGGCGTGATCTCGGGTCACTGCAAACTCCACCTTCTGGGTTTGAGGAATTCTCCTGCCTCGGCCTTTGGAGTAGCTGTTATTACAGACCTCCGGTACCGAGCCCGGCTAATTTTTGTATTTTTAGTAGAGAGAGAGTTTCACCATTTTGCCCAGAGTGGAAAGACATTTTTAAACAAACAAATATCTAGAAAAAAATTCATCTGTGGTTGGCCTACACTAAACAAACAGGAAAACTAAACTGAGTTCTTCAGACTGAAGAAAAATGATCCCAAAGAGAAAAATGGAAATCCAGGAAGAAGAGAGTAAGAATGGAAAGAGTACATTTGTGGATGTATATACGAAAAAAATATTGACTGCATACAACAATAATATAAAAAAAAGAAAAAAGAAAATAAGTTCCCTGGGATCCCGGAGTTAGGTTTGACCTTCCCGGTTCCTCTATCGCGAGATCTGGAAACCGGAAGTGAATTATTTTGCAGGCGTCTACACCAGGCTGTGGCTCTACTTATTAAAGTTGGCGGGAGCTGAGCGATCATTCGGGCCTGGGCAGGCTGTGGTGTAGTGCGTTGCAGGCAGCGCTCACCTCCTCGGGCCGGCAGAATGCGGGTGGCTGTGGCCGGCTGCTGCCACGGCGAGCTGGATAAGATCTATGAGACGCTGGCGCTGGCGGAGCGGCGTGGCCCGGGGCCTGTCGACCTCTTGCTGTGCTGCGGCGACTTCCAGGCGGTGCGCAACGAGGCGGACCTACGCTGCATGGCCGTGCCGCCCAAGTACCGCCACATGCAAACCTTCTACAGGTGAGGACGCGGTCCGGGCCGGGACTTGGCGGTGCGGCGTGGGACTGGGTTCGATTTCCCTCTGCCCCTGGCTGCCTGTTTCCCTTAGATCCTTTGTTCGCTCTGTGTCTTTAACTGGTACCTAACTGAATACAGGGGTGAGGTAGTGGGAGGCGGGAAATGTATTCATTCAGTTAGGTACTGTATTCAGTTAGGTACCAAATTGTGTCTGCTTAACTTTCAGCACCCTGTCTCATTAGGAGCTTAGGAAATGTCACTTTCCTTCTTTCCATACACCCATCTTTATCCATTTCACACGGGATCGAAGCCTGGGAGGGGACAACCTGGAGGAAGAAGCTGACAGGTTTAGATAGCTACTTGATAGGACTCTGGAATTAGTTCATTTAGTGATCCTGGAGTTTTTACTGGGCGCCTGCTATGTGCTTGTGGTTCTAGAAAGATAAGGTTATGGCAATGAACTCGACACAGTTCTTGACTTATTTGAACAGGCACTGACTTGAGGCCCAAGGTGGAAGCTCTTCATTCCTAAGGGCAAGGATGGATACTGGGCAATTTTTTTTTTTTTTTTTTGAGACAGAGTTTCACTCTGTTGCCCAGGCTGGAGTGCAGTACCGCGATCCTGACTCACTGCAACCTCCGTCTCCTGGGTTGAAGCGATTCTCCTACCTCAGCCTCCCGAGTAGCTGGGATTATACCCTGCTAATTTTTGCATTTTTAGTAGAGACGGGGTTTCACCACGTTGGCCAGATTGGTCTCGAACTCTAGACCTCAGGGGATCCGCCCCCCTCGGCCTTCCAAAGTGCTGGGATTACAGGAGTGAGCCACCGCGCCCAGCCCCGGGCAATTCCTTTTGAAAGAGCTTTTTAACTTTTTATGATGAGGTCAATTTCTTTTTGTTGTTGTTTTTTCAGAACTTACTTGCTTTTCTAGTATGCCCAATTGTGGTAACTGACTTTGCTCTTATGTTCTAGGTATTACTCTGGAGAGAAAAAGGCCCCAGTTCTCACGCTCTTCATTGGGGGAAACCATGAAGCCTCAAATCATTTGCAAGAGTTACCCTATGGTGGCTGGGTGGCACCAAACATTTATTATTTAGGTATGTGATTGTGTTTGTGGATAATTTTTTTTCCCGGGATGGAAGAGTCTATCAGGATTTGCGCTAGTTGGGCTGTGTCTTGACAGGTATGGTGTTTGGAGAATGTCATTAATTTAAATAGTTAATCATGAAAATTTAATTAAGATAGTTAATTATTAAATGGTTGATCATGATAATATGCCCTTCATCTAGTGTTTTAAGCACTAGCTAATATAATTGAAAGACCTCACACACTATTTGTAATCGCTTCATTTTTTTCTTATAATTTTTATTGAATTAAAAAAAGACCTTAAACTTTTATTAATAGAAATTCTTAAGCATACACAAAAGTAGAGTATAGCATGATGAATCTCAGTACCTGTTACCCAGCTTCAACGACTATTATATTGAAGTCTCCTGGTTTTTTTGTTTTTGTTTTTTTTTTTCTTTTGTGGGAAGAGATGACTAGAGTATTTAAAGCAAATCCAACTGTTAGATTATTTCACTTATACATATTTCAGTACATGTTTTTAAGTGATGAGGATCTTTAAAAATACTACTACAGTACTGTTATTATACTTAACTGAAGTACTCATTATCTATTGCCATGTTCATGGTCAGATTTCCCTGCTTAACCTAGGGATGTCTGCTTTACAATTGGTTTAAATAGGACCCAGACAAGGCCAGCCCATTTCATTTGGTTGTCACGACTCTGAAGTCTATTAGACTATAATAATCTCCCTGTCTCTCTTTTTCATGCCATTTACTTGCTGAAGAAAACACGAAATTTGTCCTGTGGCATTTCCTGCATTCAGGGTTTAGCTGATTGGATTCCTTTTATCCTCTGCATTTCCTATAATCTGCTTTTAGATTGACAGATTTGATTAGATTGTTTCAATATTAGTCCCTATAAACTATATAGCCTTTTCATCCCTTTATTTTTCGAGACAAGGTCTGGTTCTGTTGCCCTGGCTGGAGTGCAGTGGCTCCATCTTAGCTCATTCATCTCAGCCTCTGGCCTTCCAGGCTCAAGCCATCCTCCCACCACAGCCTCCCAAGTAGCTGTGACTTCAAGCGTGTACCACCATGCCTGGCTAATTTTTTTGTTTTTTTGTATTGTTTTGTGGAGACTGAGTTTGGCCATGTTTTCCACGCTGGTCTCGAACTCATAAGCTCAAAGTGATCTGCCCACCTGGGCCTCCAAAGTGGTGAGATTACAGGGATGAGCCATCCCACCTAGCTTCATCCCTTTATTTAAATGTATATTCTTTCTAGAACTGTTTATAGGTTTTACCAATGATGAGATTGTAATTTCAGAAATTTAGTTTCCCTACTTTGCTACTTATTGATCATCTTTTGATGTATTCGTTCTATATTACAATATTGTGAAAAAGTGAAATTGTCAGAAGATGATCAATCAGAAATGAAACTAGAAGCTGCAGGTTCTTTATACCTTACCTGTTGATTTTCAGGTTTATACATGTAAGTCCATCATAGGACATTTTCCGCCTCCCACTACCTCCCCCGTGTATTCAGTTAGTTACCAAATTATGTCTGTTTCACTTTCAGCACCCTATCTCATTTGTCCCTTCCGCAATCTACTTAATGTTTTGGCTCATCTAATTCCAGACCTTGCCTTTATATACTTTTATAATATATCCCTAATACACTGTTGGCATATTATTATGTAAAAAGGGTAACCTCATCATGGTGCTTAATTTTCAAATAATTTTAGAACTGTGTGGAATTCCATCTAAACGGAATGGTTTATTCAGTCAGTGTAAAGAGATTCCTTTTACCTACAGTAATTTTATTTAACTGTACTGTTTAGGTTTGGCTGGTGTGGTAAAATACCGAGGTGTAAGGATCGGTGGAATCTCTGGTATCTTTAAATCTCATGACTATCGGAAAGGTATTGTTTTGAGAATTATTTTTAAACTTTAGAACTCGCATGCCCCAGAGTAACTTAAGCATAATATATACTTTGACTCTTTCATATATCTTTGTATCCTTGATCTAGTTTTATCACGTCTTAGTATTTTGCTAGTTTTTATTTTTATTTTTAAGAAATAAAACAGTATAGATACAATTAAAGTTCATTGTTTATCTGTCCTCAATCTCATTCCCTTCTTTTCTTCCCTTCCTCTCTTTGCCAGGCAGTCACTATGTTGAATTTGGTGATTATAATTTACTTGATTATTTTACATCATTACCACATGTATAAGAGCTTTAAACAATGTACTTGTTTTAAGCTTCATATAAATGTATCATATTGCTTGTATCTTTCTCCAACTTGCTTCTTTAACATGTTTTGAAATCCGTGTTGATACATGTAATCTAATCTGTTCATCTGTGAATAATATTCCATTATATAAGTATATCACAACTGCCTATTCATTTCATTGTGTTTGAATGAATTATACCTTGATTTCAAAATTAAAGGAATAGCTTGGATTCACATCAATTTCACAAATTTCATGAATTAAGTTGGCAGCTAAAACTTATATCCTGAATGTAACTGTTACAAGTCTGTTCCCTGCCGCTTGGCTCTTTCTTATTCTAAACTGTTGAAATGGAGGTACAAAATAGGCTGTCTTCTCTGTGGCAGGTGTGAGTACAAATTGGAACCACTCTTGGGAAGATGTTTATCAGTTTTTTCTGTTTTATCTCAGGGATATCATTTATGCATGTAATACACATATTTCTTTTTTGGCTTAAAACAACAATAATTTGTTATTTTATTAATATTGGGCGTAAGGAACTAGTCTCCAGTCAACATTTAGAAAGTAACTGAAGTGTGCCAGCAACCATGTGTGGGACCTTAGAAAGCACATACACCCTTAGTTGAGCCCGCACAGGAGACTGCAGTCCACCATCTTTTAAAAAAATTTCCCTAGATAACTTTTTAAAAATCATATATACTGAAGGTGTACATGATATTTTGGAAACTTGTGTATATGTCTTTGTATTTGCAGTGTTTAAGGAAATTGAATATAGCTTTTTTTTCTTCTTCAATCTAAGGTCATTTTGAGTGCCCCCCTTATAATTCATCTACAATCAGGAGTATATATCATGTGAGAAATATTGAAGTCTATAAATTAAAACAGGTATGTAAAAAGTGCATTACAGCAGACTTGAAAAAATTTTGAAGTAATTCTGTACCAAAATGTATTTTGGTCATATTGGTATGCTACTTTCAAGAAGAGCAATTCAGTATTTTTTTAATGTGGATCTTGAGTTGTTTTTAGGAGTTTCACGATGAACATTTTGTTTTTCTTTTTTTGAGACAGAATATCACTCTGTCGTCCAGGCTGAAGTGCAGTGGCGTGATCTCAGCTCACTGCAACCTCCGCCTCCTGGGTTCAAGCGAGTCTTGTGGCTCAACCTTCTGAGTAACTGGAACTACGGGTGCCCACCACCACACCTGCCTAATTTTTTGTATTTTTAGTAAAGGCAGGGTTTCACCATGTTGGCCAGGCTGGTCTTGAACTCCTGACCTCAGGTGATCTGCCTGCCTCAGCCTCCCAAAGTGCTGGGATTACAGGTATGAGCCACCGTGCCCAGCAAATTTTTTTTTACTTCAATAATTATGAGTTTATTTTAGTAAGAATGAAACATTTAATTCATGATTTCAGATATTACTTAGGGTAAGACTAAAGAATACCTATTACAATAAAATTATATTTAAAAGAAAATATTAAAGTGATATTTTAAAGAAAATATTAAACATTTTATGTAATGGTAATTAAGTAATGGTGTTAAATAGAAAATAGTAATAGTAAAGATGATAGAGGAAATGGGAAAATTGTGAAGGTGGTATGGAAACACTGCTTAATGGCAGAGTAGGTGAGACTAGGTTTTCGTTTGAGAACCCATTACATGGCTGACACTGGGCCAAGCAGACTTCACACTTGGTATTTCATATAATCTCCACTCAAATCCTATGAGATAGATCTTACTCTTAACTTCATTCCTTTACGGATGAGAAACCAAGGCTCAGACAGGTAAGTAACCTGCCCAGGACTTCCCAAAGTTTAGTGGTAGAGCCTGCCTGACTGCACTCATGCCCATCACACTGTCTGTAGAGCCTCTGCAGGAGCCTAACGATGCTTGCAAGTGTTTCTTTTATGCTCTGTGCATACAGTTCCCTCAAATAGATTTTCTCTTTCACCTATCTAAATCCTACCAGTCCTTTAAGACCCAACTTAGATGCCATTTCCCAACCATGACTTTTCTTCTTTTTTTTGAGACAAGGTCTCACTCTGTCACCCAGGCTGGAGTGCAGTGGTATGATCATGGCTTGGCTCACTGCAGCCTCAATCTGCCAGGCTTGGGTGATCGTCCCACTTCAGCCTCCTGAGTAGCTTGGACTACAGGCATGCATCACCTCGCCCAGCTAATTTTTTTTGTATTTTTTTAGAGACAGAGTTTCGCCATGTTGTCCAGGCTCGTCTCAAACTCCTAAACTCAAGCGATCCTCCTGCCTTGGCCTCCAAAGTGCTGGGATTACAGGCATGAGCCACCATGCCCAGCCAACCATGACTTTTCTAGTTTAGAGTCATTACCCTAGTCTGAATTTTTGTTGCATCTATTGGCCATACCAGTTATTCAGTGGTTAGTCATATCTAATATTTTGTATTGTCTTGAGCAGTTACTTAAGTTTTTTTTTTTTTTTTGAGACAAAGTTTTACTCTTGTTGCCCAAGCTGGAGTGCAATGGTGCAATCTTAGCTCACTGCATGCTCTGCCTCCTGGGTTCAAGTGATTCTCCTGCCTCAGCCTCTTGAGTAGCTGGGATTACAGGTGCCCGCCACCACGCCTGGCTAATTTTTTATATTTTAAGTAGAGAAGGGGTTTCACCATGTTGGCCAGGCTGGTCTCGAACTCCTGACCTTCAGGTGATCCACCCACCTCAGGCTTCCAAAGTGCTGGGATTACAGGCATGAACCACTGCGCCCAGCCGGTATTTAAGTGGTTTTAATTTCGTTTTTCGAGTATTCGTTTCAGATTACTTGAAGGTTCTGGAGATAAGTCTGGAGTATATTTTGTTTCCTTTAGTTGTTTAATTAAATACTAATTTATGTAGTAAACAGAGTTTTTTAGTGTATACTATGTCAGCCTATTATAATTTTTTTTTTCCTGATAAATCTTTGGGTTTACTGAATCAGTCATGTTAGAGGTCTCGTGAAATCTGGTTTCTCTGGATCTTCAAAATAGTAATTTCTTTTTTCTTTTTTTTTCTTTTTTTGAGATGGAGTTTCACCCTTGTTGCCCAGGCTGGAGTGCAATGGCATGATCTCGGCTTACTGCAACCTCCACCTCCCGGGTTCAAGCGATTCTCCTACCTCAGTCTCCCTAATAGCTGGGATTACAGGCAGATGCCACGACGCCCAGCTAGGTTTTGTATTTTTAGTAGAGACGGGGTTTCACCATGTTGGTCAGGCTCGTTTCCAATTCCTGACCTCAGGTGATCACCTGCCTCGGCCTCCCAAAGTGCTGGGATTACAGGCGTGAACCACTGCCCCCAGCCCAAAGTAGTAATTTCTTTACCAAAGAAGAAAAGAACTATGGTCGTCGTGTATTTTAGAAGCTAAGTGCTAAGGATCTTAGATGATTGGCAGTCCAGAGTCTGTCTCCATTGCCTTGCCTTGCCACTGAAAATAAGAATGATTTATGAGCAGAGAAAATGCACCTTTTCTTTGCCTAGATGAATGAGTAGCCTAGTATTTTTATCATTCTCTTAAAGTGTCCTTAAAATGAATTACACAGAATTCTAGAGATCTCAGTGGGTGAATGGTTGTATGGTGGTAGAGAAAAAGGAGGGGATTGTTTTTATTAACCTATTTTAAGAGTTTTCTTTTTTCTTTTTCTCTTTTGAAAGCTGAAGCAGCCTATAGATATATTCTTGTCTCATGATTGGCCAAGAAGTATATATCATTATGGAAATAAGAAGCAACTTCTTAAGACTAAATCTTTTTTCCGACAAGAAGTGGAAAATAACACATTAGGAAGTCCAGCTGCCTCAGAGCTTTTAGATCATCTAAAACCTACTTACTGGTTTTCTGCCCACCTTCATGTGAAGTTTGCCGCCTTGATGCAGCATCAGGTAGAAAACAAAATATTTATTCTCTCATTTAACACACACTTATCGAACATCTGTGGACCAGACACAGTTGTAAAGTTAGAGAAAGAAGTAAAATATAACTTACCTCTTATGAGTAGCTCAATATATGATTCTGGGAAAAGACAAGCAATTACAAAATAGTACAGTAAGTTTGAGAGAAAACTTAGGCAGTGGGAGCACATAAGCCAGACTGGTGGGATGGGAACGTGGGAGATGACGATAGAGAAGGTTTTCAAAAGGCGATAGCTGAACTGAGTCTTGAAGTGCCAGGAACAAACAGACTGTAAGGGTATTTTATTTAGAGGGACTGACGTGCAGAGGCTAAAGGTCTGAGAGCATGGGGTGTTTGAGCGCTTGTAGGTAGTTCCTGTGGGACTACGGCATAGGGACTGATGAAGCTGGAACAAGATCATAACTGCCTTCTAGGGGCCATGCTCTGAAGTTCAGGTTTTTTTTTTTTTTTTGAGACGGAGTCTCGCTCTGTCGCCCAGGCTGGAGTGCAGTGGCCGGATCTCAGCTCACTGCAAGCTCCGCCTCCCGGGTCTACGCCATTGTCCTGCCTCAGCCTCCCGAGTAGCTGGAACTACAGGCGCTCGCCACCTCGCCCGGCTAGTTTTTTGTATTTTTTAGTAGAGACGGGGTTTCACCGTGTTAGCCAGGATGGTTTCGATCTCCTGACCTCGTGATCTTCCCGTCTCGGCCCCCGAAAGTGCTGGGATTACAGGCTTGAGCCACCGTGCCCGGCCGAAGTTCAGGTTTTAACCAGAGATGGTGGGGAAATTTGGGGAGTGATGAAATCAGATTTTCATTTTAGAAAGATTAGTTTGACAGCATTGTTGTGTATGGATTGGAGTACTGTAAAATGGGAGGCAGAGCAGGCTATTTAAGCAAAAGAAAAGGTTTTAACCTAAGGCAAAGAGAGAATACGGAGAATGAAGTAGATTCTAGAGAGATTTTAGAAGGAGAATCATTGTGATTTGGTGACTGGGGGAGAAGAGAGTCCAGGATGATCCTCCGTTTTCTTTGCTTAACTGCATGGATGATGTACTTGATGGAAGGTAGAAAATAAATATATACTTATAATTAAAATTCTATGGAAGTATGCATTTCTTCCTTTCACCTCTGATTCTGGCTGAACTCTGACTTACCCATAAAGTATTCCATAGGAAAACTGTTTAGAAAATTCTGGGTTAACAGAGTTACAGATTTCTTCTTGGAAACATTTAGAGAATTTCTGAGAGTCTTTATTGCACTAATGGGCATTCCCTTTCGAGTAGAATGTGATGCTTCCCAAACTTAACCAAACACTTTTCTGTGTTAGAGGTACACTTTAAAAATGTTCCTCAAACACAGTTTGGAAGGTTTTGTCTGAAAATATTCCTATAGGCCCTTTCTATTGGGGGTTTATTCTTCTCACTTCCCAGTTTCACTGGGAGACAGAGAGGTTACCCTTTTCATTGTGTTTCTGCATTAATGATATGTTTGACCTCTTTGTAATTGGCTTCTCAACCTCCTCTGACTGACACTTTCTATTTTAGCCCCTTTACCAGCACCAAAGATCACTTTTCCTTGGAACTGCTTTGCTGCCAATATCTGCCTATAAGATCCATGCCTTCCATTTTTCTTAGTATAGATTGAGCATCTCTAATCTGAAATCTGAAATGCTCTAGAATCTGAAATTTTTGACATGACACACAATTTTCAGATTTTTGGATTAAGGATATTCAACCAGTATGTATTCTGCAAATATTCCAAAATCTGAAATTTAAAACACTTCTGGTCCCAAGCATTTTAGATAAGGCATACTCAACTTGTACCTCACCAGAACTGAACTGATGCTTGGTCCTCAGCAGGAGATACGTAGCTTGCTTCATTGTGTTTTTTCCTCCATGACGAAACTGGAACAAGATCATGACTGCCTTCTAGAGGCCATGCTCTGGAGTTCAGGTTTTAACTAGAGATGCTGGGGAAAGGCTTTTTAACCTTTTACACAATGACCTACATGTTTGTGATTCCCCCCATGTTTCTGACAATTCACCTTTAAAAAAAAACTTTATTGGAGTGTAATTTACATACCATAAAATAAACATGTTTTGGCGTGGTGGCTCATGCCTGTAATCCCAGCACTTTGGGAGGCCAAGGCAGGTGGATCACTTGAGGCCAGGAGTTCGAGGCCAGTCTGGCCAACATGGCGAAAGTATGTCTCTACTAAAAGTACAAAAATTAGCTGGGCATGTTGGCGCACACTTGTAATCCCAGCTATTCGGGAGGCTGAGACATGAGAATCATTTGAGCCCGGGAGGCAGAGTTTGCAGTGAGCCAAGATCATGCCACTGCACTCCAATCTGGGCAACAGAGTAAGACTCTGTCTCAAAAAGAAAGAAAGAAAGAAAAAAACCACGTTTTAAATGAACAATTCAGTGATTTTTAGTAAGTTTCCAGAGTTGTGCTAATATCACATAATCTAGTTTTAGAACTTGTCCATCACCCCCGAAGATTCTTTGTGCCTGCTTGCAGGTAATCCTTGTTCCTACCCTCAGCCCCAGGCAAGCACTAACTTGCTTTGTGTTTCTATAGATTTGCCTTTCCTGAACATTCATTTAAATGGAATCATAAAATATATAGTCTTTGGCAACTGATTTCTTTCATTTGCTTGATTTTGAGTTTCACTCATATTGTAGCATGTATCAATATTGCATTCCTTTTTAGTGCTGAGTAATAGTTCATTCTATGGATATATCACATCTATTTTTGGTGGTATAGCTAAGAAATCTTTGCCTAACCCACAGTTACAAAGATTTTCTCTTATGGGTTCTTCTAAAAATTGTACAGTTTTAGTTCTGCCAGTTTACTTTTAAGCTCTTTTGTTTATCTTTAATCCTTTTATCTTTAATCCTTTAAGCTTTGATTTATGTATATTCAATGCTTTGAGTTAATATCATCATCATTAGTTTTTGCTTTGAATTTTGTAGGAAAATTGAAGCTCTGAGAAGTTAAATGCCTTCTCTTATCGCACAAGTGGGTATAGAATTAACTTATTTTGGAAAAGTAACAGTCATTCCTTTGACACACAACTTAGGGGTATGTGTAATAAAGATTATTTTCATCCTATTCTGTGTATGAAGAATTACTGTGATTGTTTTAACATTCTTTTTTAAATCACGATTCATATTGTCCAGGCAAAGGATAAAGGACAGACAGCCAGAGCAACCAAATTTTTAGCCTTGGACAAATGCTTACCACATAGAGATTTTCTTCAGGTAAGAAGAACGAAGTGGCTTTATAATATAGTTGTACTCTTCCAGAGACTTAAAAAAATATTAATTTTCCTTTCGGAATTTTTTTGTGCTCTTTGTAATTTACATATTCTGAGAATTCTGTGGGAGTATTTTAGTTATTCATGTTTTAAAATTAAATGGGTTTATTTAAAATTAATTGAGATTAAATTTAAATTAAATTTCTTTTTATTTTATTAAATTATATTAAAGTTCTTAGGCTGTTAAAAATAAATATATATTTCTTAATGTTGATTTCATCCTGTAGATATTAGAGATAGAACATGACCCCAGTGCTCCTGATTACTTGGAATATGATATTGAATGGCTCACTATTCTCAGGGCTACAGATGATCTTATTAATGTGACTGGTCACGTATGGAATATGCCTGAAAATAATGGCCTGCATGCAAGGTAAGTCAGACTTTATTTAGGACCTGCTTTTTCCATTGCATTCATAATTTTTGTGTCTCCCATCTTTGTTTTGTTTTGTAACAGGGTCTAGCTCTTACCCAAACTGGAGTACGCTGGTGTGATCTTGGATCTTAGCTCACTGCATCCTCCGCCTCCTGGGCTAAAGGGATCCTCTTACCCCTGCCCCCAGAGCAGCTGGGACCACAGGCACACGCCACCATGCCCAGCTAATTTTTTGATATTTTTGGTACAGATGGGGCTTTCCCATGTTGCCCAGGTTGGTCTTGAACTCCTGAGCTCAAGCAATCCACTTCCCTTGGCCTCCCAAAGTACTGGGATTACAGGTGTGAGCCGCTGTATCTGGCCTCCACTGTTGTTTTTAATCAAGGGAATTATTGTTGAATGAGTATCAGAACATTTCAGTTTGCAGGTTTTCCATCTAAAAGAGACAGGAAAATGGACTGTTGAGCATTACCTCAAATAAATTTATAAGTGAATAAGTGTACATAAAACTATAATATGGTGAAGATGTAGTCCACACATTAAAATTGTTTTGGAGTATGAGTTAAAGATGGCTTTTTCTAAGAATTATTTTTATTTCTAAATGGTCCTTTGCTAAATTAACTGTAACTTTAAAAATGGAATTTTGATAGATGGCTTGTTTTTTATCCTTGCACCTGAAGTCTAGAATTAGATTTCATCATTTATTGTTTAGAGCTAATAAAATGTAAAAAGCTATTGTTTTGTACTTTTATAGGTGGGATTATAGTGCAACAGAAGAAGGTATGAAAGAAGTGTTGGAAAAATTGAATCATGACCTCAAGGTTCCGTGTAACTTTAGTGTAACAGCTGCTTGTTATGATCCTAGCAAGCCACAGACACAAATGCAGCTGATTCATAGGATCAATCCTCAGACTACTGAATTTTGTGCCCAACTTGGCATCACAGACATCAATGTTAGGCTTCAGAAGTCCAAGGAAGAACATCATGTGTGTGGTGAATATGAAGAACAGGATGATGTGGAGAGTAATGACTCTGGAGAAGACCGGAGTGAATATAATACAGACACATCTGCTCTGTCTTCTATTAATCCAGATGAAATAATGTTAGATGAAGAAGAAGAAGATGAAGATAGTATTGTAAGTGCACATAGTGACATGAATACACCATCTGTAGAACCTTCTGATCAAGCTTCTGAGTTTTCTGCAAGTTTCTCTGATGTCAGGATCTTGCCAGGCTCTATGATTGTGTCTTCTGATGATACGGTGGATTCCACAGTTGATAGAGAGGGGAAGCCTGGTGGGACTGTGGAATCAGGGAATGGAGAGGACTTAACCAAGGTGTCATTGAAGAGGCTGAGTGATGAACACGAACCTGAACAAAGAAAAAAAATTAAGAGGAGGAATCAAGCCATTTATGCTGCAGTGGATGATGATGATGATGCAGCTTAAGACAATTTACTTGTTTTGTTTTTGTTTCTGTTTTTTTGAGACGGAATTTCACTCTTGTCAGACAGACTGGAGGGCAATGGCGTGATCTCGTCTCACTGCAACCTCTGCCTCCCGGGTTCAAGCAATTCTCCTGCCTCAGCCTCCGAAGTAGGTGGGACTACAAGTGCCCGCCACCACACCCGGTTAATTTTTAGTAGTGACAGGGTTTCACCATGTTGGCCAGGCTGGTCTCAAACTCCTGACCTCAGGCGATCCACCTGTCTTGGCCTCCCAAAGTGCTGAGATTACAGGCGTTAGCCACTGTGCCTGGCCGACAATTTACTTGTCTTAGTGTTATACATAGATATATGATTTTTGAGACCGTATTTTTAGAGCTGAATTTTTGACGAAAGACTTAACTTTATAATAATGAAGATACACTAGAGAATTTTAGTTAGATATTGACTTTAGGCTTTTGTATGTTTCAGATGCAAACATATTAAAACTTTAATATATTTACTTGACTGGGTATCTTTTTTTTTTTGAAGACATACATTATTCACTTCTACTTTTACAATAAACACTTATTTAACATCTACTTTGTGCCAAGCACTCTGCTATAATATGGGACCATAAAGATAAGTAAGACAAGGATTTTTGCCTTCAAGGACTTGCTATCACTGTAAACATTTTGATGTATACAATATGGCTATATTATATTTTGTTTTATAAAATCAAGTCATTGTATATACTATGTATGCTTTCTTTTCATTTATTATAAATATTTTTCCTAATCAGCTTTTAATATCTGTCAAATAAAAATTGAAATTGAAGATGGTATATAAGATTTCAGGAAATAAACTACTTTGAATACTAAACATTGGTAAACATACAATCATATTTGCTGAGATTAGTATAACCCTGCTGACTTTTGCATATTGTGTTTTTTTTTTTTGAGACGCAGTCTCACTCTGTTGCTGAGGCTGGAGTGCAGTGGCATGATCTCAGCTCACTGCAAGCTCCGCCTCCTGGGTTCACACCATTCTCCTGCCTCAGCCTTCTGAGTAGCTGGGACTACAGGCGCCTGCAACCATGCCTGGCTAATTTTTTGTATTTTGTTTTGTATTTTGTTTACTAATTTTTTGTATTTTATTTACTACTAAACAAAATACAAAACGGGGTTTCACCATGTTAGCCAGGATGGTCTTGATCTCCTGACCTCGTGATCCACCCACCTCGGCCTCCCAAAGTGCTGGGATTACAGGCGTGAGCCACCGTGCCCAGCCAGCATATTGTGTTTTAACTTTAGCTTTAATTTTCATGTAACTATAGTAACTATGTAGGTCATTTTTGGCATCGTTCACCCCATAGTTTTAATTACTAGCAAGGATCAAGCTGCACAAATACTGCCCCTCATGCTGCGTGATGGATTGCTAATATTAAAGTATTTTTGAAGATCTGTATAGAAAAACTACACCTCTGTGCTATCTCTGGTTAAACTACCTGGGCCACCTGAAGAGATTGTCACTCTGTACTTAAAGTCGTGGAATCCAAGATTGTTCCATGATCTCATCAATCCATGGCAGTCCAAATCCAGGAGTTAATCTAGGAGAATAATGTAGTACTTGGCTTCTACCTTGTCAACATTTGACTTCGTAAAGGTCTATTATTTGGGGGATTTTATCTTTATTTCCTTCCATTTTTTTGTTTACTTTCTTTTTTGAGTTGAATATTTAATTCACTTATTTTACTTTTTTTTTTTTTTTTTGAGACAAGGTCTCACTCTGTCGCCCAGGTGGGAGTGCAATGGCACAATCTTGACTCATCACTGCAACCTCCACCTCCCAGGTTCAAGGCAATTCTGGTGTCTCAAGGTGAATCTCATGCCTCAGCCTCCCAAGTAGCTTGGACTGCAGATGCCTGCCACCATGTCCAGCTAATTTTTGTATTTTTAGTAGAAATAGAATTTCACCATGTTGGCCAGGCTGGTCTTGAACTCCTGGCCTCAAGTGATCCACCTGCCTTGGCGTCCCAAAGTGCCGGGACCACAGCCATGAGCCACTACGTGTGGCCCACTTATTTCATTTTATTTATTTATTTATTGAGACAGAGACTCACTCTGTCACTCAGGCTGGAGTGCAGTGGCGTGATCTCGGCTCACTGCAACCTCCACCTCCTGGGTTCAAGCGATTCTCCTGCTTCAGCCTCCCGAGTAGCTGCGACTACAGACCCACGCCACCACACCCAGCTGATTTTTGTATTTTTAGGAGAGACAGAGTTTCACCATGTTGGCCAGGATGGTCTCAATCTCTTGACCTCTTGATCCGCCCGCCTTGGCCTCCCAAAGTGCTGGGATTACAAGCGTGAGCCACTGTTCCCGGCTTGCTTTATTTATTTAGTTAGTTAGTTATTTTTGAGACAGAGTCTCACTCTGTTGCCCAGGCTGGAGTGCAGTGGCACAATCTCAGTTCACTGCAACCTCCGCCTCCCGGCTTCAAGCGATTCTCCTGCCTCAGCCTCCTGAATAGCTGGAACTACAGGTGTCCGCCACCAAGTCCAGCTAATTTTTGAATTTTTAGTAGAAATAGGGTTTCACCATGTTGGCCAGGCTGGTCTCAAACTCCTGGCCTCAAATGATCCACCCACTTCGGCCTCCCAAAGAGCTGGGATTACAGGCCTGAGCCACCATGTCCAGCCTGGCCCACTTACTTTTATTCCCGTTATTTACATGAAGTATTTAAAGCTATGACCAGGCACAGTGGCTCATACCTGTAATCCCAACACTTTGAGAGGCTGAAGCAAGAGGATTGCTTGAGCTAACGAGTTTGAGACCAGCCTGGGCTGTAGTGAGACCTCGTCTCTACAAATTAATAAAAATTAGCTGAGTGTGGTGGCACGTGCCTGTGGTCCCAGATACTTGGAACGCCGAGAAGGAAGGATTGCTTGAGACTAGGAGGTTGAGGCTGTAGGGAGCTGTGATCATCAAACTGCACTCAGCCTGGCTGACAGGGTGAGACTGTCTTAAAAGATAGAAAGAAAAAGCTATGAATTTCCCCCGATTGCTGATTTAATTGAATTGTAAAAATTCTGCCATTTATTGTTTTTCCCCAGAAATTTTTATTAAAGATAAAAGCAGAAACAAATATTAGAGTTAATAAATGGTGTTTCTCAAAAAATCTAGATAATCCTCTAGCTTACCTAGTCAAAAAATGAAGCACACATTAGAAAGAAAGAGAAAGCACAAATATAGAAGGAAGGAAAGAAAGAAAAAGAAAAAAAGGAAGGAAGGAAGGAAAAGGAAGGAAAGAAAAGAAAAAGAAAAGGAAGGAAGGAAGAAAGAGAAAGGAAAGAGAAAGAAAGAAAGAAAGAAAGAAAGAAAGAAAGAAAGAAAGAAAGAAAGAAAGAAAGAAAAAGAAAGAAATTGCCATACTAAAGAACCTCCTGGCCCGAAAGAAAAGAAAGAAAGAGAGAGAGAGAGAGAAAGAAAAGAAAGAAAGAAAGAGAAAGAAAGAAAGAAAGAGAGAGAGAAAAGAGAAATTGCCATACTAAAGAACCTCCTGGCCCAGATGGTTTCGGGAGGAAACTACCCAATCTTTTAAAGCCTAGATAATTTCTGGCCAGGTGTGGTGGCTCATGCCTGTAACCCCAGCACTTTGGGAGGCTGAGGCAGGCAGATCACCTGAGGCCGGGAGTTCAAGACCAGCCTGACCACCATGGAGAAATCCCCGTCTCTACTAAAAATGCAATATTAACCAGGCATGGTAGCACATGCCTGTAATTCCAGCTACTCGGGAGACTGAGGCAGGAGAATCGCTTGAACCTGGGATGCGGAGGTTGTGGTGAGCCGAGATCATGCTATTGCACTCCTGGGCAACAAGAGCAAAACTCTGTCTCAAAAAAAAAAAAACCAAACCAGATAATTTCTGTTAGATAAATTGTTTTAAAATATATAAAATTAAATAAAGTTTGCAGTTTCTTTTTATGAAAGTATCACATTGATGTCTAAATCTGAAAAAATTATACAAAAAAACCCTGTAAATCTCATATATAAATATCAATGCAAAAATCCTACATAAAATATTAGAAAGCAATCCATGGCACACTTTATAATGATATGGCATGATTCAATATTAGGAAGTCTGTTTACATAATTCACACATTAATACACCTAAGGCCAAACATCATGATTATCATCATGGACAATGAAAAGGTCTTTGACAAAATTCAACACCAATTTCTGATTTTGTAAAAAAAAATAATAAACAAAAAGTAGCATCTTACTTAATGGGAAAGCACTAAGTATTCCCATCAAAGCAAAGGAACAAAACAAGGAAACCGACTACCTCCATTACATTTTAACATTGTATTGGAAAGAACAAAACAATCACAAAAAGAACACAATGAGGGGAATCAGAATTGCAAAAGAAAAGGCATACATATACAGGTGATCTCATAGTTTAGGTGGAAAACAAGAAAATTACAATTAGGCCAGGCACGGTGGCTCACGCCTGTAATCCCAGCACTTTGGGACACCGAGGTGGGCGGCTCACGAGGTCAGGAGATCGAGACCATCCTGGCTAACACGGTGAAACTCCATCTCTACTAAAAATACAAAAATTGGCCGGGCGCGGTGGCTCACGCCTGTAATCCCAGCACTTTGGGAGGCCGAGGCGGGCGGATCACAAGGTCAGGAGATCGAGACCACGGTGAAACCCCGTCTCTACTAAAAATACAAAAAAAATCAGCCGGGCGCGGTGGCGGGCGCCTGTAGTCCCAGCTACTCAGGAGGCTGAGGCAGGAGAATGGCGGGAACCCAGGAGGCGGAGCTTGCAGTGAGCCGAGATCGCGCCACTGCACTCCAGCCTGGGTGACAGAGCGAGACTCCGTCTCAAAAAAAAAAAAAAAAAAAAAAAAAAAAATTACAAAAATTAGCCGGGTGTGGTGGGGAGTGCCTGTAATCCCAACTTCTCAGGAGGCTGAGGCAGGAGAATGGTGTGAACCCAGGAGGCGGAGCTTGCAATGAGCTGAGATTGCACCACTGCACTCCAGCCTGGGCAACAGAGCAAGACTCTGTTTCAAAAAAAAAAAAAAAAAGAAAGAAAATTACAATTAAAAGTAATTCAAACAATCCTATACCTCAGTAAAGTAATAAGATAGGCCGGGCGCGGTGGCTCAAGCCTGTAATCCCAGCACTTTGGGAGGCCGAGATGGGCGGATCACGAGGTCAGGAGATCGAGACCATCCTGGCTAACACAATGAAACCCCGTCTCCACTAAAAATACAAAAAAAATTAGCCGAGCGTGGTGGCGGCGCCTGTAGTCCCAGCTACTCGGGAGGCTGAGGCAGGAGAATGGCGGGAACCCGGGAGGCGGAGCTTGCAGTGAGCCGAGATCGCGCCACTGCACTCCAGCCTGGGCGACAGAGCGAGACTCCGCCTCAAAAAAAAAAAAAAAAAAAAAAGTAATAAGATAAAATTAACATAGAAATCAGTTTTCACACACACAATTACCAGTGACATAACACCAATAAGAATACTTAAGAAGTAGGCAAAACATATAATGAGGAAAACCATAAAATATACTTGAAAAATACAAAAGTAGACTTTATGGTAAAATATCTTTTATTCTTGGATAGATGACAATTTTAAACATATCAATTATTCTCAAGTTACACAAATTTAAAATGATCCTAGTCATGATACCAATAGTTTTGTTTTGTTTTGTTTTGTTTGTTTGTCTAAAGCCACACAAGTTGATTTTAAAGTTTACTTGGAGAAATAAGAACAGACAGGAAACTTTCCAAAAAAGGGCAATGGAGGGATACTGGGCATATT